AGAGGCCTGAAAGGCCTATGAAGCGGTATATAAGTCTACTGCTATTGCTATTGACTCGTATTTATGACGGTCGCAGTTTCCCGGGGGGTCACGTGATCCCCTTTTGCGACCTTCTGATGTCAATGGGGAAGCCGGATTCACTTAAAGACTGTGTTGTTAATAACTGCAGTGATTCACTTAACAACTGTCTCGCTTAGCAACGTAAATTCTGGGCTCAATTGTGGCTGTAAGGCAAGATCTGCCTGTAACCCCCCCCCCCCCCCATCCCTCCAGCCCATTTATATGGATTATTTGTGAAAACACACACTCTCCAAAGTCAGTCTGGTATAGTTTTTAATGTCTCAAGTCTAGAAACCGGGAGGGTGTGGGTTCTAATCCTGCCGTAGGCACAAGGCCAGGTAAGTGACCTTGGGCCAGTCACTCTCTCTCAGCCCTGGGAAGCAGGCAATGGAAAACCACATTAAAAAAAAAAAACGTTGTCACGAAAACTACAGGGACTTCTCCAGGCAGTTTTTAAGAATTGGACATTATTGAACAGAAAAGAATTAAAAATATATACTTAAAAATTACAATTTCATAGAAAATATCATTTTCAGTGATTATTTGTCGACACCAGGGGGCGACAAACACCCATGAATTAAACACAGCCAAAAATTTGAATATGTTAAAAAAAAAACACTACAGGCAGTCCATAATATACAGCGATTTGTTTAATGACCCTTCAAAGTTACAACGGCACTGAAAAAAAGAAATTTAGGACCATTTTTCACACTTACGACCATTGCAGCATCCCCAGGGTCGCATGACCAAAATCCAGGCACTTGGTAACTGACTCGCATTTACAACGGTCGCAGTGTCCTGGGGTCACAGGATCCCCTTTTGCACCTTCTGATGAGCAGAGTCAAGGGGGAGGCCGGATTCACTTAACGACCATGTGACTCACTTAACAATTGTGGTGCCTCACTTAACAATGGTGGCAAGAAAGGTCGTAAAATAGGGCAAATTCACTTAACGATTGTCTCACTTAGCCATTGAGACTTGGGGCTCAATTGTGGCCATAAATCGAGGACTGCCTGTGAAAGAAATGACTAAACAGGCTTCCAAAACCTTTTAACAACCATTGTATTAATTGACTTATTTATGCATCAGAATTTATATAACCAGATAACATGACTGTAAAATTCTGGTGATTTTATCCTTCTTTATATTTATTTTTGTTGAAAGCTACATTCATTTTATTTCCTTTTAAAAAAATTGATTAAAACCAATTTTTTGAGTTTACCCATCCCATCGATTAGATGACTCCGAGTGATTTGCAAAACGGAAAAAATATAAATAGGAAAACACTTAACATTTAAAATACTTAAATTAGAATATATGCAAGTGTTTTGTCTTGTTTTAAAACTTCCAATATGTTTTTTTCTTCAATGTTCCAGATTGGTCCAGCAGCCTGGAGAATCACCTGGTGCTCTCCCATCCGAGTATCAATTAAATCTGATTAAGTTTAAGGTCAGCTGAGGTCAGCTAGGGATTGCCCTATAAATGAAAATAAATTGTATTAGGATGGATTAAATGAGCAGAAAAATGTTCCGGGAGCAACTAAATGAGACTCTGATAAACTCGGTTAATGTTAAGTCTGGTTTATTCTTTTCTGGCATTTGGGAAAATCGGAGATTCTGATCGAATATATTATGCAATCTTGAAAGGGGGGGGAAAAAAAACAAAGGCCAAATTCAGGAGCCAAGGAAAACCTTGTGATTCGCATGTTTCCTTTGTAGAAATAACAAAAAACGCATTTATAATTTTGGCTTGTCCATTGGACACACCCAGACTTTCCACCAAGTGTCTGAATTTTGCAATTTTGGGGGAAGTATTTTTTTTAGTCACCGGGCCGATCGAGAGACCGCCCGCCGGCTTCGGCTGTGACTTCCCTTCCCATCAGGCACTGCCAAGGAGACGTGGCTTATGGTTTCAGTGGTCCGGCCTGCTGCTAAGGCTAAGCTCCTATCCCAGAAGTGCAAAGTTTGCCAAATCTTATTTCCGCATTCAGGCTTCCCAAGTGCCTGCTTCCTAATGAAATTGATGATGATTCAGAGGTGGTGCAATGATGGTTTGTTTAGGGTCTGACCTCTGGACTCCCAGGATCCCTCTCTGCTGGAAATGATTTACACCTTGGTGGTTTTCCTGCTTGGACTTGCAACTGTTTTGCTACCTGGTGGAGACAAACAGAGGCCACAGGCGAATGGCTGCACCGGGCGAGGAGGGGCTTGGAATCCCTAGTGGGGAGGGGGGGAAGGGCTTTCNCTCTTCTTCTTCTCCTCCCTACAACTCCCACTCCCTTCCAGCACTGATGATGTTCCCTAGTTGGGTCCTGAAACGTCTGCAAGAAAACCACCAAGTTCAGAGAGCACCAAGGACCCCACAGTCTTTTTCCTCCTCCTCCTCTTCCTCCTCTTCCTCTTCCTCTCCTCCTCCTCCCATTTCGCCCTCAGCCTCTCCCTTCCTTCCTGTCAGGGAGCTTGGCATAAACTCAGACTCCCAGCTACCCTTCCAAGCATCTCCCAAGCTCACTGGGGCTGAGGTGAAATTGAGGAAGCCAATTTGTCTCCCTTCCTCTTCCTTACGCTCCCGAGTCTGCTTACATGGCTGCCTCGACTCAGTGACCAAACCTCCAGCCCTGATACTGGTCGTGAGTTGAGGACTGCCCGTGCCACCCAAGACCCTTCCGGGCAGCATCCCCGACCGCCAGCCAGGCCGAAGGGGCTGGGCTTCCCTCCTTGGGCCTCCATTTGCAACAACCACCTCTCTTCCCTTGCCAGATCCTTCGGAGGCTGAAGTGCCTGGCCTTGGAGAGCGAAACGGAGCTGGAGCGGCAGGACGAAAGCCTCGACGCCATCACCTCCTCCGTGGACCGGGCCACCATGAGTATCGACCGGCAGAACCGCAGAATCCGGAAACTCACCTAGGGAACACCCAGAGCAGAGAGGTTCCCCGTTCGTCCCGTGGGCTGACCGCCTGGAAGCGACCTTTAGGCGTCGAATTGATTGACAAATCAAAAAAAAAAAAATTCACAAAAGAGGAAGTTCTTCCTGATTGGGGGTGTCGTTAAATGAAGGGGAGTTTAGTTTAAATTGCAAAGGAGCCCCCCAAGTTTCTTTACTCAACTCACGAAGGACCTTTTTCGAGTTGCGAAAAGGAAGACGGTAAAGCTGCGAACCGAAACAGCCTCGATTTGGTTGTTCGGCGGCTGATCTGAGAACCACCACGTCATCGGGTCCTTTTCCCCCCCCTACCCCCCCCCCCCGCCTTTCATCGAGACTCTGCACCCTGAAAATTTATCCACGCAGTAGAGGGAATCTCAGAACAAGTGCGTGGAATGGGGACAACGCGATTT